TTGAGATGACAGAATTATAGAAATGTCAAACGGATGAGTGGTTGTCAGGGGCTAAGGAGGGGGTGGTGCTGGGAGGGAAGCAGGTGTGGTCCCCAAAGGGCAGTCTGAGGGATCTTTGTGGTGGAGGAAATGTTCATATCTTGATTGTATCAAAGTCGATATCCTGGTTGTGATCTTGTACTACAGCTGTGCAAGATGTTACCACTGAGGCAGAGTGAAGGGTAAAAGGTCTCTCTCTGTTATTTTTTACAGCTGTACGTGAACCTATCATTATCTCAAAATAAAAAGTTTAAGAAAAAACAATGATCGGGGTGTGGGTTACATGGGTATACGCACTGGTCAATACTCGTTGATCTATATTCTTAAGATCTGTGCATTATACTGTTTGTAAATTTAATTGCAATTTTAAAAATGATGTAACCTCCTAGCCGCCTAACTTATGGCTTTTCAATACACCAGGCGAAGACGTGTTCATAAATAAAGAATCTGAGATACAAATTTCTAATCATACCCTAACTTCTCATAAATACTTCTTGTGTATGTTCCTTAGAGACTTATTTTTTGTTAAAAAATTTTAATTCCATTTCAGTTAACATACAGTAGTGTTGTATTAGTTTCAGGCATACAATATAGTGATTCAATACTTCCATACATCACCCAGCGCTCATCACAAGTGCACTATTAATCCCCATCCCTATCTCACCCAGCCCTCCACCTGCCCCGCCTCCAGTAACCCTCTGTTTGTTCTCTACAGTTAAGAATCTTTTTTTTTTTTTTTTTTGGCCTTAGGGACTTAGTTTGAGTCAGCCTAACTTTAACAGGGTTCAACTGACATTATAATAAATTATTTCTACTTTCTAAATCATATATACATGGTCTTGGCTCCAGCTTGAGTAACACTGTTTGAAACTTATCTAGGAGGATTCCTTAATATATTGAGTAACCTTTTTTTTGCCGCTTGTATTAGTAGATGTATTTTGGAACAACGGCAATGGTTTATCAGAAGCTGGGCTGTTTCATAAAAGAAATATTTAATATTATGAAACAAAACTGCAGGCTATAACACATAGTTCTATTCAACGCTCCACTGTAATTTCATTTATGATTAGCCATAAGATTTATAAATTGTGAAATCTTAAAACTATTATCTAACAAGCAAAATAAATTAGAAAACAGATTTGGGCTGAGAAAAATTTATAAAGGTTTTTAGTCAGCGAAAACTTCTTTTTATCACTCAGTTAGTAACTTAGAACTTCATTATTTCTTGAAGCTTAATACTTCCACAGATTCTTTGCTTAAAAGATGAGATTTCCATGTAATTATCAGCAAATATTTTTTATAATTTTTGTAATCTAGTCAGGCAATATCCCTCAACTTCAACGGAATGTATTTCCCAGAAGTAACTGAGGATATTAGAATCAGAGACTATTAAAACCAGAAGGTCCTGAGAGAAATTTTTGTGCAACAATGTCACTATATTCAGGAAGAAATGGAGGAATGAAAAGGTAAAACCCCTTGCCCAGGCCACAAACTGTTGCCCTGAATGTGCATTCAGGAGTATTTCTTTAGCGCCCTCTACTGTCGAGCCCTGTCAGATTGGCTGGAGGCCCATGCGTTAATATTCTAGTACGGGGAGAAAGACAAATTGCTCACATACATAGCTCATCAGATACACCATACGTGCTATGAAGGAGAACAAAGTAGGGCAGGGGAAGTGTTGCAGAAGGGGGTTGTAATTTTAGATACAGCAAGGTCTGAGAAGGCCTCCAAGATCAAATGACATCAGAGCAGATTAAAGGAGGGAAGGAGGGGGTTCATAGGGGTGAAGGACGAAAAGCTTTCTGGGCAGAGGCAACAGTCAGTGCAGAGGCCTGAGGGAGACCCCTACTTGGTCTGTTCCAGAAACAACATGGAGGTAGGAGTGGCCGGAGCACAGGTGGGAAATGAGGACCAGGAGAAGAGATGCATGAAGAGCCTTCCAGGCCTTTGTAAGGACTCGGCTTTTACTCTCTAAGAAATGGGGAGCTACTGAAGGTTTTTGAGCAGGAGAGTGACCTACTCTAACTTTGGTTCTTTGGGGAATAGACAGTAGGGAGGCAAGCACAAACACAGAGACCAGTTAGGAAGCTCTGAATTAATCCAGGGGAGAGATGATGCTATTTGGCACCAGGGTAGTTGATACGGAGCTTGTGAGAAGGGAGTCAAATTTTTGAAGGTAGAACCAAAAGGGAGTAAATGGCAGAGGGAGAACTAGAATCCAGATTTCTGATGCTCTGGTTTTCGATGCACCATGTTGCTGAATTGTTTTTTTAGAGTCCAAGAAAGTATTCCCCAGAAATAACTGGATTTCTGAGTCACAATAAGGATGGGAGTTGTACGTCTTCATATGCAGCTGAGGCACAGGCCACAATCATTCTAGCAAGAAAATGTTTATAATTAGAAATAGCTTACATTTGTCATGTTGACCCATCAGAAAGAAGAAAATTTTAATTACTTGCATTATTGTTGCATTGACCCTAGACTTAAAGTATCAGTCTGAAATTGCACTACAGTTGTTAAAAAGAAAAGGCAGCGGGTGGTTTCATAATAATTAAGTTAAACCTGCATTAGAAATTAAAATCTGGGGCACCTCGGTGGCTCAGTCGGTTTAGCGTCTGCCTTCAGCTCAGGTCGTGATCCCAGGGTCCTGGGATCGAGCCCCACATCGGGCTCCTGGCTCAGCAAGGAGACTGCTTCTCCCTCTGCCTCTCTCCCCTGCTCATGCTCGCTCTCTGTCTCAAATGAATAAATAAAAAAATCTTAAAAAAAAAAAGAAATGAAAATCTGTCCCCATTAATCAGCTATAGAGGGTGTGTCCTACCCAAGCTTATTTGAAAACAGGGTTCATTAAAAGTGACACATTTTTCAGATACCAAGCTTAGACACACATATCATTTCTCCATGCGTAAGTCAGATGCCAAATACATTGCTTTGTGTGCAAACATAACAATATTTACAGCCAGCATAATTCAAGAAACTCATGTCTTCAGACACATGAAAAGATGCTCATCACTAGTCAGCACGGAAATGCAAATCAAAACTACAACGAGGTATCACCTGACACCTGTCAGAATAGCTAGAATAAAAAAGACAAGAAGTTAAGTGTTGGCGAGGATGTGGAGAAAAAGAACCCTCGTGCACTGTGCGTGGCGATGCAAGCTGGTGCAGCCACTGTGGAAAACAGTATGGAGGTTCCTCAGATGAAGCATAGGAATACCATCTGATCCAGTAATCCCACTACTGGGTATTTACCCAAAGAAAATAAACACACTAATTCAAAAAGATACATGCACCCCAATGTTTACTGTAGCATTATTTACGACAGCCAAGATACGGAAGCAACCTAAATGTCCATTAATGGATGAATAAAGATGTGAAATATCAAAGTTCATGTTTTGTTTTGTTAAGATTTTATTTATTGGGGGCACCCGGGTGGCTCAGTCAGTTAAGTGTCTGCCTTTGGCTCAGGTCATGATCCCAGGGTCCTGGGATCAAGCCCTATGTCGGGCTCCCTGCTCCACAGGGAGTCCACTTCTCCCTCTCCCTGCTGCTGCCCCACCCCCAACCTCGTGTTCTCTCTCTCCCTCGCTCTTTCTCAAATAAATAAAAAATCTTTTTTAAAAAGACTTTATTTATTTGAGGGAGAGTGCATTAGTCAGGGGTAGGGGTAGAGGGAGAGAATCTCAAGCAAATCTCCCAGCCGAGCAGGGAGCCCAATGCAAGGCCTGATCCCATGACCCTGAGATCATGACCTGAGGCAAAATCAAGGGTCGGTCGCTCAACCAACTGAGCCACCCAGGTGCCTCAAGATTCATGGTTTATATTTGGTTAGGCTCTTAAGCCTTTATAAAGTTAGAACAGGATCCCCCACCACCATTTTTTTTTCTTGACTATTGACTTTTTAAGAGACCAGATTATTTATTTTATCTGGATGTTTGATCATTTCATCATGATGACATTTGGCTTGTTTCTCTATACCTTGTTCCTATAAACTAGATGCTAGAGCTTGTCTTAGATTCATGTTTAATGTTTTTGACAATCATACACCATAGGCAGTCCTGTCTACTCCCCATTGTGTGCACTAGGAGGAACATAACGTCAGGATGTTCCACTGTTGGTGAAGCTAGTTTTGAGTAGTGTTGCCATTATCTCCTGTTGTACGACAAATAGTGCAAAAACAGTGTCTCTAAACCACTATCATTTCTTTTTCATGATTTCTGCGGGTCCTGAATTCAATCAGAGCAGTGGGGGCAGCCTGTTTTGGCTCCTCGACGCCTGGGATCCCAGCAAGAACACATGAAGGCAGAGGGCTGGAATCATTTCTTCACATGGCTGCTGGGGCTGGTGGTTAATGTGTTCTCTCCTTGTAGCCTGGCATTCTTCCAACATGGTGACAAGGTTCCAAAGAACAGTATCCCAAGAAAGAGACAGATGGAATTCATATTGTCTTTAACAGCTAGCTTGGAAATCATGCAGTGGCATTTCTCTCCATTCTATTGGCTGAAGCTACAAAGATACGCCCAGATTCAAACGGAGGGAACAAGGACCCTGCCTCTTGATGGAAGAGTGTTGATATCACATTGAGGGAGCGTGCATCAAAACTTAGATCTTTAAAAGTGTTATTTTCAAAAATAAATAAGTAGAACAAGTCTGTCATTTTTCTTGAAAATGAAGTTCAAGTCACAGAGATTAGTTCTTGTTTGAAAATTAATGTCTTTATTATTCTTTGATGAATACAAGTCTACCAGTGTGTGCCCAAATTAATGTAACAAACTGATTATGTGCTAATGATTAAAATAGAGACTAATTGCTCACCTTAGTATCCACTCTACAAGAGTTAGACACATTTGTCAACATAGTTGTTCACTATGAGCGTCAAGAAATATTTCAAGCAGATAAAATGATCTTTTATAGAAAAAAAACAATTTATAGAGAAAAATCAAGCAAGACTTAAAACGAAGTAAAGGACAATGCCATTATTCTTATTTAAAGCAAGACATGAAAAATTAAACACATCTGAATTTAAATTAGGGAGGAAGAAGGGATAATACGTAGTGCCCAAAATATGTTCTGTGGTCCTCATGGTGACAGTATTAACCAGGCCACCAGGCCTAGGAGATGATTTTTCCCTCGGCTCCAAGGATCAACCTGCCCAGCAAATGGCAGAGAGACTGTGATAGGTAACTTTATGTGTCACCTGGACTGGCCACAGGGTGCCCACATTAAACCTTATTTCTGGATGTGTCTGTGAGGGTGAAGGGATTAGCATTTCAATCAGTGGACTCAGCAGACTGCCCTCCCCAGTGTGTGTGGGCATCATCCAATCCATGGACGACCTGAATACAACAAAAGGTGAAGGAAGGAGGAATTCACTTCTTTTTTTCCTGCCTCACTGCTTGAGTAACAACATCGCATCTTCTCTGCTTCACAGGCCCTCAGACTCAGGACTGAATTACACACGGCTTTCCTGGGTCTCCAGCTTGCAGACAGCAGATCGGGGGACTTCTTAACCAATTTGTCATAATCTCTCTCTCTATCTCCTCTTCGTTCTATATCTCTGGAGAACACTGACTAAAACACACCTAGCCAGACAGTCTCCTTAAGCACGCAAGAGAAACATCCTAAATTCTTGCAATCCAACCACCCATTTTCCATGACAACTATCAAACTGCTTACATGTTATTATCTTTTTCATCTCAGTATATTTTTATTACAATTTCATTACAGGTTGATGTTTATAGATTGGTTTATACCAAATGCATTTCAGGTAAGCTGTTCCCTAACAACATATGGGAAAGCAGAATCATTACATGGAAGGGCTGCCTACAAATCCAACTTTTGCCTGTAGACTGAAATGCCATTGATAGAATTTTGACATTAACGACCTTTAATTCTACAGAGCCTGAGTCTCATTGGGGCACCTGGGTGGCTTATTCGGGTAAGTGTCTGACTCTTCATCTCAGCTCAGGTCTTGCTCTCAGGGTCGTGAGTTCAAGCCTCGTGCTGAGCTCCATGCTGGGTGTGGAGCCTACTTAAAAAAAAAAAAGCCTGGGTACCCTTGACCTTATCTTCTTGAACTTTTCCTTCCATTATCACATGTGTATCTGTCTTACTGAGGTCTACAGCACTGTCACTAAACACAAAAACTAACCATGAATATTTTTTAGTTCCATTATATGCCTAGCCCAGAGGCTCATGTGGTAGGGGGTTAAATATGTGCTGAAAGAAAGTGAATTTTAAAATATATATGCTTTACTTACTAAAATGTTTCGTTTTTATAGGAAGCTAGAAAAGAAAATGAAGAAGCCAAAGAAATCTTATATATAAAGAAATTACATATAAGGAAACTATGTGAGTGGCCTCTACACCCTATTGTTAGCCAGTTCAAAAAAACCCACGTGCTTCAGGTTATAACGTATCGGGTAAGGCCCCCCCCTCGGACCTCTGAGAGCCTCCGGCAGTGTCGTAAGATATTCAGGATCACGTGAAACCGCTTGTCAGCTTTCAAAGCTGTGAACTCCTTTATGTCAGCTTCCACTATGAAATAATGACCTGAAAATAAAGATATTAGTACCAATTTTCATTAAGGACAACTTTCAGGATGAGACTTTAATGCATTAGATTGTGAATATGAATAACATTGATCGTTTTTATTATCATTAGGCACCCAAAGTTGAGAACAGGTATTCTTGCTAAAATGATTAGTATTCTCTCAACTGAAGTTGCATGTTCACTGTAGCATTTTAGAAACGTAGCCCTGCTTATCATATTACTGGCTATCTGTTTGTATCTTCTAAAAAATTGACTTTTCAAGAGGAAATATGGGAGAGTGGTTAAGAGAATGAAACGCCCAGCAGCTCTGTCCCTTAACCGGCTGACACTGGGCAAGTAACAGAACCTTTCTCTGCCTAATCTGCAAAATGGGGGCAACCGTACGTACCTTATAAGATGTGAGGATCTCAATACACGATCTGGCAAATGGTAAGTGCTATATAAGCAGGACCAACTGTTTTCATTACCACTCTAATTCTAAAAACACTGGGTATTGTTTCATAATAGATTCTAAAGCAGCGCTTCTCTATCTTGGAACTACAGACATTCAGAGCTAGTTATTTCTTTCCGTGGGAGCTGTCTTGAGCATTGTACTCAAGTCTACTTTTAGTCTCTAGATGCCAGTAGCACCCCCAGCCCTAGTTGTAACAACCAAAAGTATCTCCAGCGATGGAGAAAAATGTGCCCTAGTGGGAAAACCACTCCTGGTTGAGAACTACCTCTCTAGATTCAAAATTTTATAGAATTCATCTTGTCTCTCACGATTTAATTACACTCCAGTCGACATGCACACACATATATGCTATCATTTTTACCTTTGGTATCCTTTGTTTCTTCATCAATAAATCTGTGATAGAGATTTCTGGCCACGGAACTCATTGACTTTTTTGGTTGATGTAGGATTTTATATTTACTGGCCACCGCCTTGTTGATTTCTTTAATAACATCATTAATTTGACAATAGGTTAAGCGAGATTTCATGTACCTGCAAATAAATATATGATTAATTTTTAAAAGAATCATTATACAAAATTATTTTCTTTGAAAAATGTTTATGTATGATGACTTTATATAGAAGCAAAGCTATTAGAACTCTCATAAAAAAAAATGTATAGGGGCACCTGGGTGGCTCATTTGGTTGAGCATCCAACGCTTTTCAGCTCAGGTCATGATCTCAGAATTGTGAGATGGAGCCCCGTGTCCAGCTCCACACTCAGAATGGAGTCTGCTTGAGATTTTCTCTCTCCCTCTCCCTCTGCCCCCAACCCCCGCCAAAATAAACAAACAAATCCTTTTTAAAAATGTTTATCAACTTCCAAATAAACCAGACATATCTCAACAGCTGAAAATTTAAATAGAACCACAGCATATCAGTTGCTTAACTTCCCTATTTCTATCTGGATGTATTCATCGCCATTCTCTGCCTACAGAGAATGTATTTAAATTAGAGAGGAAGAAGTGATAACATCAATTTAAAATAGGGTCTCAAATACTACAATTTAAAATAGGGTCTCTTGGGGGTGCCTGGGTGGCTCAGTCGTTAAGTGTCTGCCTTCGGCTCAGGTCATGATCCCAGGGTCCTGGGATCGAGCCCCGCATTGGGCTCCCTGCTCCGCAGGAAGCCTGCTTCTCCCTCTCCCACTCCCCCTGCCTGTGTTCCCTCTCTCGCTGTGTCTCTCTCTGTCAAATAAATAAAAAATCTTAAAAAAAAATAAAATAAAATAAAATAGGGTCTCTTGCTGGTTAACTTCAAGACAGAAGCTTATTGAAACATTTTTGAATGTTTGTGAGCAAGGGAAACAAACATTTAAATATGAAATAAATTACCTAACTTATACCACTCTGGTTTTTTGCAAACTTATCTGTTCTGAGAAAGAAAAAAAAGAGGAGGAGGAGGAGGAGGGAAGATGGACAACAAAGACCACAACAAAGACGGCAACTGCTATCAGGACAGAGCGCCAGCTGAGCAGACGGCAGAGGAAAGGGCCTGGGGGCCAGGTGCGGGGCGGAGGGGAGCCAGTGCACAGCTCTGGGCTCTACCCCTTCGAGCACTGGTCCTTCTCTAAAGCCACTCTTCCAATCCCATCTCCCTCTTGCCATCCTCCCAGTCACCACACAGTCTTAGAATATAAAAATAGGAGACTCGATTTCTCTGTACCTACCAACAACAAAACTCAATGATCTGCCTCCATTTTGCCCTTCAACAAACTGTGGATTCAGTATGTGAAACTCTGCCCTTCACCTCTCCTCAAGGGGGCAGTTCCCTAATCAAAACTTCCATAGTATAAAATAATATATGAATATATTTAAAGGAAAATGTTCATATTAACCAAGAAACATTCGTTTTCGTTATTCTTTTATTTAAGGATCTTATTTGAGAGAGGGAGGGAGGGAGGGAGGAGGAGGAGAGAGAGAAAGGGAACACAAGCAGGGGGAGTGGGAGAGGGAGAAGCAGGCTCCCCGCGGAGCAGGGAGCCGGATGCGGGGCTCCATCCCAGGACCCGGGGATCATGACCTGAGCCAAAGGCAGACGCTTCACCGAGTCACCTAGCTGCCCCTTTCTCTTCATTTCTAAATTCATTTTTGCCGCTGTTCCCACAAACTGTTGATCCCACAGCTCCCCACAAAGCAATTCCTTTAAATCCTCTGAACTATCACCTTAAGGTCAATACCCACCCCCACCCTCTGCCAATGTTCTCTATTTTAACTCAACCCTCAGTGTTTATTTTTTAAAGATAATAAACAAAAGCCCCATGTTTGGAATATATTCTTCCTTATCCCAATTGTCTAAGTTCTCCCATGCAGCAAATAACCCCTTGGATTAAAAATGAATACTCTACCATGACTATCCTCATTTCCTTCCTTTATCTCTTCTTGGAAGCATTTTATAAAAGCCCATCTACTCCACTGTTCCTCACGGACATTTGCTTTTCTCTTTGGCTCAGCCAATGAGCAACAAAAATAACATTTAAAAAACTGAGTATCATCAAACAGAATTTTCATGAAAATAAAGCTACCATAAAAGACATCACTGACAAAAAATAAAGAGAAAGGTCGGTCTCATTTTGATGAAATATAACACAACTAATAAGCCCACGTTTACAATAACAGTTAACAATGGCAAAATGCTCATAATAAAAAAAGTAAACTGTATTGACAGTATAACCACATTGTTGTAATAACAATCAGAAACAACCTATTAAATTAAATAAAATCTGGAAGGAAATACTCCATCTTATCTGGGTGGTAGAATTACAGATGAATTATTTTCTGACATGTTCTCACAAGTTATTACTTATATAATAACAACATAACAAGAAATGTAACACTATAAACCCAAGAAGTTAGGCTAAGCCCCGGAATGATGAGTTTAAAAATATGCGTTTCCGGAGCACCTGGGTGGCTCAGTTGGTGAAGTGTCTCTGACTCTTGATTTCAGCTCAGGTCGCGATCTCAGGGTCATGAGATTAAGCCCCACATGGAGCCCTGCATGGGGGGGGGTCTGTGCTCAGTGGGGAGTCTGGTTCTCTCTTTCTTTCTCCCTCTCTCCCTCTGTCCCTCCCCCGAACATGCTCTCTCTCTAAAATAAATAAATCTTTAAACCAACAAACAAACAGGAGTTTCCATAATGGGCTCTCCGTTACTGTCTTCTGTAAAGAGCAAAGCAGACCTCCTTCCAGGGAAGGTATCTTGTCTTACTCACCCCTGTACTATTCTCCTCAGTGACCCACAGCCTGGAACAGAACACAAACTCAAACAAATGTGTGGCAGAAGTTGAGGAACAAATGGAAACCGAACAAACACAATACTCACCATTCTAATTCTCAAAACTATACAGCACACTTCCCTTAAAATTACAGCAAAACTGAGGCTACTTTTTTAAATTTTGTTTATTGATTTGAGAAAAAGAGCACGAGAGAGCGTAAGTGGGAAGAGGGAGAGGGACAAGCAGACTCCAAGCTGAGCATGGAGCCTGATGCAGGGCTTGATCTCATGACCCTGAGATCATGACCTGAGCTGAAAACAAGAGCTGGACACTTAACTAAGCCACCCAGGTGCCCCAGAATCGCTACTTTTAAGATGTAACTGGATAAATCTGTATCACAAAATGGTCCTGCAGAGGACTCAGCAATAAACTGACCCATCTCTAGATCTTGCTATGAAAAGAGCTTTAGACCACATAAAAACCATGATTTTAAGCATCTTCAACAAAGATTTCCTGCATTTTCATTGTATGATATAAGACTTGGAGAAAAGATCAATACTTGAACACAGCATGCTATGAATATAATCAAGCTTTAGGATTTAAACAATCATGTCTGTTGACCATTAAAAAGTTGAATGTTAAAATTTTATCTTAAATACTTACGCTGGAATGCCATTAAATTCATCAGAAGTTATAAACGGCATTTCTTTAATACTTCTTTGTTCTTTTGGGGGCTTCTTTGCGGGTACAGTTTCCTCAACTTTGACTGGTTCTTCAGGGTCAAGATCTGACACATTAGCACTGCAGACAGAGATGCACAGATGTATAAGAGATCATCAGAATTTTGCAGCATACTAGAAAATTTTCCCAACTAAAAATAATCAGTTAACAAATACAAGATTCATCTTGTCAAAATAATTTTATAGCTAACATTTTTTGCTGCCCCCACTCCTATTGTTCATGAAGATCTGACTAGTGAAGAGAACGCTGAAAAATTAAGTCCCCGAATCTTCAGTAATAGAATTAAAATTTATATACCCAAAACATGGGTGTATACAGTACCCAGGCCAAACATCTTCATTAGTTATCTCACTGGCTCCTCAAAGTCAATACGTGTGAAGTCGAACTTATCTTAACCACTAAATAGCTTCTCTTCCTGAATCCCTAATTTTGGACATAGGAACATTAGTCCTCTTATACTTCTATTTTTCTAATTTACCCCACTGGCTGTTAGTATCAGTCCTTGCCTGTTACAGACACATTTTAGTTGCCAGCAACGAGCGTGGAACTCTTGGATTCAGTCCTACCCAATTTTTGGAGTCAGTGAGAGCCTAATATAGCTCCCACCCCACTAGCTGAGAGTGTAGAAATAGGCTGTAGCTGCTGGGCTATTTAGCTGCCAGGGAAGGAAGAGACCCTTGCTGGCAGCAGCAAGTGAAGCCACACCAGCTCTACTGCTCCAAAAAAGAAATGGGGTACAGGAGACAAGAGCAGATCCGAGCCAAAAGCAAGTGAAGGGAATCCCAAGAAAGGCAGGGAGGTGAGATCCCACGATAAGAGCTGAGCACCGGACGCGGGGCAGCCAGTTATGGTGCCCGAGGCGCTGTAACTGAGGACGGCCATGTTGGAGGGTGTCAAGGTGAAGATGCCCAATGCTGTGGTGCCATCAGCCCTCCACGAGTCTAACATGAGACTTCAGGGTGAGCTTGGCTGATTCTTAGCTGTACTTGCTTGTCTTCACCAGATGCTAAGGAAGCTCCTGATTTTTTCTTCATGCCCTGCTCTATCAGCTGAAAACCATTTCAACCTACAGAAAGGTTCTGCTTTGACCTTGGCTGAAAACTGAAGCTAAGCCCATAGTGAGGTCAGGAGAAGAAAAATTCCTCCTATTCCCCAGGCCATATTCCTGCTGGATGTCCGATGTCCAGCCCACACTACAATCCTGGCAGATGTCCTGTGGTGACCTCTGTTCCTAGCTTTCATTCATGACCTTGCCCACCATTTTCTCTTCTTGCAGGGAAACTGCAGGGGACCCTGACCATGCCACGCACTCTGCTGAGCTTATCTTCTTCTGGAGAACTTCAACCACCAGCAGTAATGTGACTCTTCTACTCAGCAAGCCCCGTGCCTTCCTTAATCTGACCGGCAGATACACCGACGTTTGTTTTACTCTTCTTTAATTTGCACAAATAATGGTTAGTCACTTTTCTGTATATATAGGATACATTTCAAACGTTAAAAAATTTTAAGTTACGCATGGAATGTTTTTACACCCTTGGAACCCCCTTTTAGAAATGTAACTTTGGTGGCAGAAGCCTGGAGAGCAGGGAGTAGTGGAACCATGGAGGGACAAAACACAGGAGCGCTCAAAAACAAGGATGGAAGATCGCACTCAGAGCCAGCCAATGAGAATGGAGGGAGGGCTGGGACAGACAAAACCCCACAGAGGCAGCATGCACAGCTGAGGGCTGCAGAGAGAAAGACGGGCGGAAGGTACCCGGGTGCTGTCCAGGGGACGGGAGGAAGGCAGCGGGCATGGCGGGTGGCTAACAAGGGCCTGGTCGGCTTGGCCTCAAACACGCAGAGCTGGGAGGACAGCTCATGTATTAGGCCCCCGGCAAGCAGCAGAGGTCCCGTCGAGGCTGGAGCTGGACATCTGTGAGCACTGAGCATGGTGGAGAGGGCATGAGCCACACACAGGTTTAGGAGACACCCGCAGTGCAAAGAAGGGCGGAGCAACGGGAGGTAGCCAAGTCAGGGCTGCGGGCTGCCAACGGAGCGCTGCTGCAGAGCAGAACTCAGCACTTCCGACATGAAGAGACACAGAAAGACAATCTGAACAGGAGGATCAGGGCTGAGGGGGAGTTTCTGGATCAGTTGCCGGAGTGTGGTAGCACGAGTAGCCCAGGGACAGGCCCTGGGGCTCTGGAGAAAAGAGGAGGTGTGAACATATACTGGTCGGGGACACATGGGGGCACTAGTTTGAGGGGGGAACGCAAAGCTAAGTGTTTTGTTCCGGTGGCTGTTTTTAAGATGGGACGTTTATTAAGCTTATTTTTACCCTAAGAACAGTGGTTCTCAAGGATCAAGGGAGAGTGTGTCCCCCAGAGGCCATATGGCAATGTGAGGAGACATTTTTCACTGTCACAGCTGGGAGGGGTGGGGGGATACCACCGACATCTAGCCGGTAGACAGAGATCAGGGATGTTACTAAACATCCTCACTGTCCTCACAACAAAGAATTATCTGGCCTAAGACGGCTGAGGTGGACAAACTCTGCTCTGAGGAAAAGAAATGAGAAAAAGTGGGAAAAGAGAGCCCAGCCGACACTCGCCCACGGGAAAGAGGAGCCACATTTTCCGCAGAGGTAGCAAGACAAGAAGACTGGGGGCACCTGGGTGGCTCAGTCGTTGAGCGTCTGCCTTCGGCTCAGGTCGTGATCCCGGGGTCCTGGGATCGAGCCCCGCATCGGGCTCCCTGCTCAGCGGGGAGCCTGCCTCTCCCTCTCCCACTCCCCCTGCTTGTGTTCCCTCTCTTGCAATCTCTCTCTGTCAAATAAATAAATAAAATCTTTAAAAAAAAAAAACATAATCACTAACAAAACCACAAGTCCATAAGAAAGCAAAAAGAGTTGAGATGTTTAATAGTTTTGTAAATGCAGACAGCAAGAATAATTATAAATACACTTACAAGTTCTGGCTTACTGTTACTTGAGGCAAATGGGGAGGAATGTTTTCTTTGAGATGCTCCACATCTTTATAATCCTCTTCAAGAGATTCACAGAGTTCCTAAAATTTAAAGAAAATGCTCCCAAGTTAAGTGTCTGTCCTGCCTGTGTGTGTTTTAAGACGTTATAAAGAGCATGAAAGACTCACTCACAATCATAATGCCTGGGGGTGTTTAAAACACAGAAGAGGTGGAAAAGTACTGACTGCAGCAATATTTTTTTAAAAACCGTTTGGTTTCTAGAGCTCTTTTTGGATGGCAAGATAGTAGCTTTCTCTACTGGTTTTCAGAGAACGACTGTTATAATCACATTACAACAGGGAGGGTTGACATTTAACTGCAGCCTTGGAAAGCAACTAAAAAATGTATAAAGGATTTATGTTTGTCATTCTGGTAAACTGCTTTTGTTGATTTAACAAACATTCCCCAGTGTTATCTGTACCACAGCTCCAGGGGGACAGTGCGTGCCTGGAGCACGCGTACGAGAACCTACTCGTAACAACTTCCACATACTCTAGCTTAATGGAAATTTCTACTGGATCGTAACTGCTTTGTTTTTGTTTTGTGTTGTCTTTAGTTTACCTTTCACTAGAACTTGACACTATGAACTCATGCAAATTTATTAAGAAAAATACTCTACACCTTTGGATTCCTGTCATCTGATTCTCAATCATAAGATGAACAAAAATTCTAAATAGTCTTCAATTCTGAATCTAACATTCTCTAGGCCCACACTTAACCGTGGGCACTCTTGGGTAGGTTAGAGGTGAAACTAATATTAGCTTCTGTTTTAAATTTATAGGATGTCTTTCTTTCAAAGAGATGAATGATGTTCACAGCCACTAATTTCATTTCAACTAGTAACAGGATAGGCATATTCATGCCCATTCCTATAGCTGAAAAGTCTTTACAGACCTTAAGGATTTTAAGGCTGAAAGGGACCATGGAGGCCACCTTGTTCAATCCCACGGAACACATCAGTGGCTCTAACGGCATGAGGTAACTATGTACAGATGGCGTATTTTCCCAGAAGTACACAAGCACTTTCATTAGCTTAGTCAGTTAGAAAGCTTACTTGGAACAAAATGGTGTGCAACTGAGACTCAAGTGTTTCTGTACTTGAGAATCCTTGTATTTTATAGAACAGAGAAATGCAGAATAGAAGGGACCTAAGAAATAGTTCAGTATGACTCATTATTTTCCAAATGAGGACCACAAGACCCGAAGAAGTAACAGGTCTTTTTCAGGGTGCTAGAGGGTGCTAAGGGCAGCCAGGGTGAGAATCTGCATCTCCTTGCCCCAGGGTAGGTGTTCCTGACACACCACTCTACCAGACCGCTTGTTTAAATTAAACCTACCAAAAATTATTTAGGATATCTTCTTTTTAGTACAGTTCAATTTCATTGGCAACCAGCATAAAGAAACACCTGTGGAGCTCCAGAGTCCTTTATACTAAGAAGATACAATGTAAATAGCACTCTATACCATTAGTAATTTAAAAAGGTAAGAACATCTTAAAAATTTAAAGAATCCTTCAGAATTCCCTGGTGATGATGGAGTTTGTATCTATTGCCCTTTCATTTCTTTACTGGAAAAACATTACCTTGAGTGAATGGTTGGTTTGTTCTTGATATTGAATCTCCAATTCCAACTTATTTAGAAGTTCATTTACTACAATGATTTCATCTCCTATTTTATCTAATGTAGTCTTCAAGGTAGGTTCCTGACCTATTAATAGACAAAGAGGGAATGAAAAATAAAGTATACAGAAAAGTATTAGCATTCTGTATTCTTTAACTCAGTTGTTCCCAATTAAACTCTTGGACCAGAGCTTTACTTTAGAGAGACACTTAGGGAGGAGATAGGACTCTTGTTTCAGCCCCTAGGACCTGTCTCCATGGATAATCTTAAGACCTCATTTCTAAGTAATATGGTAGAGAAGGAAGAGAGAGATAAGTATGAAGTGTCCCCTGAGTCTTTTGATTTTGGCAAAGTCTTCTACTATGATAAAACACCTAGAAATGTTAGATAAAAAAACAAAAACCAAAAAAACTTCTACATGCATAGCTGAGCTTTCATGAGAATAAGGTAAATCTCAAGGGCTGCAGCATGAAGACAGACCCACAGACTGGCAGTATGTGGGAGCTGATGCTGCAGCAGCCCTAATTGGGGGTGCACAGGAAATCTGGAGAGAGGAGTTTGCCAGTCTCAGCAACCCAACACATTTGGTTTTAATGGGTGCAAGAACCAAGGCTTTTGTACTTCAAAGCACAGGGTGTTGGAAGTGAGAATCCCAAATGAGCCTTCTTCATGGGATAAACCTTCAGTTAAAGTGCACACCTCAAAATTCTAATCACTCGCCAGGGAGAGAAGCTTGTGGCTCTCAAGGGTGTGTGGAAGATGGGGGACAGTTTCCCTTCAGAATTTGTAGTAGTGGCTTGGGATGCACCTGGTTTGAGATTCGTATTTACACTATTTACTATTTCTAAGAAGAAAAAGTAACATAAAAAGTCACAGGCTGGTACTAAGCCTGGGATGCTTGACAGAAACAAACACCAGGCATTTATAAAGTAGCATGCTCTCATACTCCCAACCCCACCTCCTGGCACCCGTCTCTAGTTCCACAGATTTGAGGATGAGAAAACCAGAGTCTCCTCCTCCCCAGAAATAAAAGAATAAAAAAAATTTTGTTTTAAAGAGCAGATCAAAAGCACAAAAGAAAAACTATTCTCGTAATCAAATCTTTCCTTCTTTATTTCTAGTAACCAATGAAATACACATAAGTAAAGTCACTATTGGGGAGACGGGGGGAAAAAATAAACAAAAGCATAATTTGACTGTATCTGTAGATTATGGAGGCTGTAGAGTAAAATGGCCAGAAGGTCCAAGACCTAAAGCCAGAGACACCGGCACCTACCTCAAGGTTACTGTGAAGATAAGCAAGAAAGTACCTATAAGATGGGTTGAACACTGTGCCTGGAATCTGGTAAAACACTCAATAAATGCTAACTACTATTCATCATCATCGTCATGACAAGCAGCATATAATTCTGTCTAATAGGGCAATGTTAATTGCATTTGATTGTAGGCTCGTAACAACTAAAAGAAATTAGTAAGTAATAAGAGTACGGATGTCTCTATTGAGATTAATTTATAGGGAGTAAATAACTAGTTTGGATACACTGGTATCTCAAATAATTTTAGTCACCTAAATTTTAGGGCCTTGTCTACTGATTTATAGAAACATAATCAACTGAGCAAATACAATACTTTTAATAGAAGTAATCTAGTAAATTACTGCAGCCAGAGTGGCAAACAAATTACTGGGCTCTATTAAATAAGCTATGGAACCAAAGAGAGAAATCATTCTCCTCACATACAAATGATGGTTACTGAGTGTGTAGTGATCTAATAGTTCACATTGCTTAGGCCAGTCCTCATGCCTTGGTGGAGTCATTTGAATTCAAGGTTTAGTTGTTTTATAGGTCTCAAAATTTTATCTGTTTATCCCACAGTAATCATGCCCCTAGAAAGAGAAGGTAAGCAAGACTAGTTATAGACGTCCTTTTTGCGTTATTGAATCAAAGTGGCATAGAAGTAGAAAGAATACTAGACTGGGACTCAAGATACAAAACTGTGGTCCCAACTGACTACCTAGGAGTTAGGGGAGCTGGGCAAGTCACTTGACTTCTGAGAGTCATGTGTGAAACGAGGGAGCTGGAGAAGATGAACCCACAGTCCCTTCAGCTTTAACTTTCTACAGAGAATGTGAGCTGTAAACTGTATAATGGATGATGTTCCTTTACTGGAGGTTCTCAACAAGAGATGAAGAATATCAAAGTCCCTAGAAGGACATGTATAATTTGAAAGGGCATTTCAACAGTATAATTTAATATTTTAAAAAATTTCTTAGATTACCAATTCATACTACAAACTATACTAAACTTCACCACAATTTTCCCAGCAGGTAGAATTCTGCCTATAAATAAGTCTTAAGCTCTCCTAGAATGGACCCGGGAGCTCACAATTTTTGTAAACAATATTTTCCCAGACTTGACAAGGATCACCCATTTCTTTGCACTGTCATTGCCTCATCCTCTTTCAGCACTTCAAAATATTCTAGAAGATGGTTACAATCTCCAAGCTTCTGGACATTAGAACTGGACATTTTCAATCAGTTGTTTCCTAGTCATATATAACAATAAGCTTCCTCCAAAGCAGGCTGGAGATGGATAATGGGCTATTTTTCACCTCTGTGGGTCTTTTCCACTTCTATTTTTATTCCTTACCTTTCAGTATCCCCACTTAGCTTTAACACCACAAATTAACCTTCAAATCTTCCTATTGTGCCTTTTGTATCTCAGAAAAACACAAGCAATTAAGTCTAATTAATATCCAGTTCATTGTTCAATATAACTTACATTTTAGTACTCCACAATATTCAAAATATTAATGCTGGAGTGCTTCAAAAAACCACTATTTGAAAGTTAAAATTACCTTTCACTTAACCAGGCATAAGATAGTCATAGTGGAACAATAATTAAAATGCATTTTATATCTACGACGTCAGTGGAATCTGTCCTACTTACCACAATTCCTTAGTGACAGAGTTCTTTTAATGTTGGCAATCTTTTCATTAATATGAGAGCATAATTGTTCCAGATCTGAGGCCATCCTTTAAGCCTCTGAAGAAAAAAAAAAAAAAAAAATTTACAAAAACAGAAAGGACAAGTTTCTGTTTACTTTCATAATCCAATAGTGGTATTTACCAGTATTGTTCAGTAATGTGAGCCAGTAAATGGACCACAGAGGTGATCCAGTAAATCACATCTTGAAAAGAAAGTACAAAAACTCAATTTCTTTCCATTCTACAAAATTCAGTTTTTAACTAGAGTCCAATACTGACTTGTCTTTGAGCCTTCTGGAATCAACGCATCCAAAACCAAGATACAGGGGATTTAGGGGGACAAATGCACTATTTATATATAAAGACAACTCTGAAGTTTTCTTTAAAACGGCAAAGTACACATGAGTTAAAAAGAAAACACACAGTTAAGTGCAAAGAAACGAGTCCAAGTAAGCATTTCTCCCATGCTGCGGGGGACTGGAGCTTTACGGTTTGGGGTTGATACAGAGGCAGAGGGAGGGGAAGGAAGGGAGTCAGTTATCATTCATTCCGAGGGTAGGACAGATCTAAAACAACCACTGCAGCCAACCGAGCGGTGGGAAGACAAGCCCGGTTCCTCGGCTCCGCCTGGCTCCCCCGCGCCCCTACTCCGCCCAAACAATGCCTTGCGTCTGCCTCCGAGGGCAGGACCCCCAACTTCAGATCCCAACCTGGCGCGGATCCGGGAGCAAAGCGCCACGCGCTGCAGTATCGCGAGCCGTCGAGACCCAGTCTCGGAAGCCCAGGATCGCGAGAGGCGACTCCGGGATCGAAATTCAAAGCGCCCGCCGGGACCCGGCGCCGCGCAGGCGCACCTCGGCGCTCCCGGAAGGCGGGCAGCTCGAGTTCCGGCGCCCTCGAGGGCCATAGCGGGGCGGAGCCACAGCGGGGCGGGGAAAAAGGCGCGGCTGGGTGGATTGACACGCAAGGCAGCCGGGGCCAGTGCCCCTCCTGGTCCAGGCAGTCTCGGGTGATCCCAGTCATCTCGTGTCGACTGCTGCCCGGCCAGGGACTGCGCGCTCCGGGAATCACACGGCGAGCTCTAACAGTAGGTCTCCGGGTTGGTGGCACGTTAGAACCACCAGGGAGAGCTTTTACAAATTCCAGTGCCTACGCTGGACACCAAGTCATTGAAATCAGGCACCCTCGAAGTGGGGTCCACGCCCTAATATTCTAAAAAGCACCCCAGATAATTCCAAAAAGCCTTCCAGTTTGTGAGCTTAAGGACAAGGACCTTGTCGTCGTAGAGTTGACAGCCTCTGTGAGGGCATTTACAAATTTAAACTAAGAAAAAGGGTTAATTCTCCCTGTTGGGGAAAAAAAAAGTGGGGGGAAAGTATCCTCGAGCTGGTGTGTCAGCTCCACAGTCATCAACGATCCAGATTCCTTCTGTCTTTTGGCGCCACCATCCATAGCATCAGGCATCTTGACTGTGATGCAAGATGACCCTGCCAGTTCCTTCCTCAGATCTTGGTCTAAGGCAGCGGAAAAGAAGAGGCAAGGGTCAGAGGCTCACTCACCAGCTGAGCCACCACCTTTAAAGAGTTTTTTTGGAAGCCACACCCGATGGCTTCTCTCTGATTTCCACTGGTCATTCACATCTGCAAGGGAGACTGGAAGAAAAAAATCATTAAATTTTTTTTTATTTTATTTAGACAGTTACATTGCATCCTCAACCATATAGGGGTTCTGTTTGTAAGGGAGAAGGAGAGCATAGATTCTGGGTAGGCAAATAGCAACCTTGGCCATTTCTACTTACTACTTTTAAAAAATTTCTGGAAAATTTCAAACTTAAAAAGTTAAAATAGGATAATGAACCCCATGCTCAACCCATCACCCCAGCTTCAACCATTACTAACTTATCTCAAATCTTGTTTCATCTGTACCTCCTCTCCTCTCACCCTTTTCCTACTGGAATTTTTTTTCCCTACTGGAATAGTTTGAAGCAAATTTCAAATATTGTATCTTTCTAGCCAAAAACATTTACATATTTATCTTCTGAAGATAGAACCTCTTTAAAAATTACCACATTAGCATTATCACACACAGATATTTTAATAATTATTTCTGAATAACAAATACCCAGCCAATGTTCAGTTTCCCCTGATTATATCATTGTTTTTTATTTTATTTTATTTTATTTTATTTTATTTTTATTTTATTTTATTTTAAGGATTTTATTTATTTGACAGAGAGAGACATAGCAAGAGCAGGAACACAAGCAGGGGGAGTGGGAGAGGGAGAAGCAGGCTTCCCGCAGAGCAGGGAGCCCGATGTGGGACTCGATCCCAGGACCCTGGGATCATGACCTGAGCCAAAGGCAGACGTTTAACGACTGAGCCACCCAGGCGCCCTCATTGTTTATTTTAAAAACGATTGGTTTGATTTAGAATCCAAATAACAGTTACACATTATTTTTTTTTAAGATTTTATTTCTTTATTTGACAGAGAGAGACACAGCGAGAGAGGGAACACAAGCAGGGGGAGTGGGAGAGGGAAAAGCAGGCTTCCCACGGAGCAGAGAGCCTGATGCGGGGCCTGATCCCAGGACCCTGGAATCATGACCTGAGCCGAAGGCAGATGCTTAACGACTGAGCCACCCAGGCGCCCCTACACATTGTTATTTGGTTGATACATTTTTAATGTTTCTTTTAATTTTGACATACCTACTTATCTAAAGCTAAAGTCCTTTAACAAAGCCTTTCATTGTAGGACTTCAAATGTAAGGCTTCAAATGTAATTATCTAAGAAAAATAACACAGCAACACAAATTCACCCTGTAGCATCAAGGGCAAACATTTTCAGATTATTTCCCAGGAGAAAATAAACAGGAAGACCAAGAGCATGAAGGCATTGAATACAAGAGGAGATGGTGAAAATGTGAAAAAAAAATATACAAATGAGCAATTAGATTGCACTGCCTGGTTCATATTTCTTCCTAGGTCAGGATTATTTATCAGGATTTCAAGTACAATGGCAGAAACTCAATCCAAACTGACTTAAGAAAAAAAAGACTTTATTTGGCTTATAAAACTGTAAAGTGTGCATGTGTATGTGTCTACAGTTATAGCTGGACCCAGGAACTCAAACATCCAATTAAAGAACCATCTCTGTCTCTCAGTTCTGCATTCCTCTGTGTTGAATCCATTCTCAGGCAGGCTTTCCCTATGGTGACCACTGGTACCTCTAGACTTATACTCTAATAGGTTAGCAGTTCTTGCTTTCTGAACAAGTCTAGCAAAAGCCCCAGGATTTCACCTCATTGTCTTAATTTGGGTCATCTGCCCAGTCTTAAACTAATCAGCATGTTTAGGGGGATGGGATGGTCTGGTTGGCTAGACATTCAGGAGCTGGGAGTTAGGACAATCTACCCAAAACACAGGGTCCGAGAGTAGGACAGAAGTGGTTTCTGAAACATTACTTTCTGGAGAAGGAGGACAAGTTGGGAAGGGTTGTTTTGAACAAAAGTTTGCTGGGGAAAAGCAAGAGTTCAGGGTGATGATGATTTCTCATTGGCTGAGTTGCAGAGATAGTTGATTTCTCCTAGGGGATACAATGTATATCTTTCTCTGCTGGGGCCTATAATTGATGATTCTTTTCTATTGGTGATTCTTCTGTTGGGGTCTATAATTGACAATTCTTGTAATTGACATGGAATGGTAAGACTTCCCCTTCTAGCCTCCCTTTATTAATTTTTACAAGAGCAAGATATAAGAAATCGCTGGACTGGTCCTTGCAAGAAATATAAGCAAGAATAAAAGCAATGTGAACTCTAGTCTTCAGGGGAAAATAATAACATCAGGAGACTTTTATTGGATACTTAGTCTAATTCAGGCATTTTACACATATTAACCTGTTTAATCTTTGTAATAAAATGAATACTTAAAATTGTGATCTGTACTTTACAGATGAGGAACTGGGGCTTATCATTAAGTAACTTATCCACATCAGTATCTCAGAACCTGTCCTCTTTCCCATGATACTCTGCTGCCTCTCAGGTGCAAGGGGTCAGTCACTTGCTCCCATGTTTTATGCTTCTGAACTTAAAGACTTCCATCATTGTTTAATTCCTTCATGTCACGTATATTACCACATGAACAATTCTAGATTTTTTATGAATTCTAAGTTTTTGATACCTGATTTTGACAAAATACTTTTATTTGTACTTTTCTTACTTTTGTCTTTTTCTTGCAGCTAGGGGTCAAGTTTAATTTCTGGATGTCCCCAACTCAGAATCAATAAAGGTCCTCATTGTAGCACAAAGATCAAAAATCTCTTTAAGCAATAGGACTCTGCCTTTCTGGGAAGCTCAGGAAATATTTAATCCTCTGGTTTTGACAGTGGATAGTGACAACAAGTTTGGGGACAGTTTCATAGCTGTCCTTTCAGAAGAGGGAAGGCCCATTGTAATAGATGGGGCACATTCTGAGATGTGTCACAGATCAGGAATATGTCTGACCCTTTGGGGAGTAATAGCATTCAAGGCAGATTGTGTTTTTTACATTTCCTATTAAACTACCCTCCTTTAGCTTGTTTTTAGGAGCATTTTCCAACTGACAACATTAAAATCCAAGGCATATACTCATAATACAGTTCTCACAGGGACCATTTCTCAATTCTCACTATCTGTCATGGCAGCTGAGTTGAATCAACCTAGAAAATCCAACTCCTCACTTTTACAATGTTTCATACCCTAAAATGATTTATACCTCTGGTGGCAGTTTTTTGGTTTTGTTTGTTTGGTTGGTTGGTTGAGGTTTTTTTTTTTAACTAGAGAGAAGAGGAAAAAGAAAAAAGCTTCTTACAGTTTTCCCCTAGTGTTCTTCTCTCATTTTAGAGTCATATTTATCCAGGGTGTACTTTTTTTAGTGTTATAGTTAGAGCCCCAATTTCTGGGCCACCAGGGTGCCCTTAACAAAGTCTCAGAGGCATGTAGTATGATTAGAGGCAGGGAAGGAAAGTCACAGTATGAAAACTACTCTGTCTCCCCCCCCCCCAATGTCTACAATTCTACCCATTAGTGAGAGAGAGGGAGATGGAAAAAAAAATATCAGGAGACCTTTAGGTAGTCCCAGCTCAGTCATTAACTGGCTCTGTGAACTTGAGAAGTAGATGACTTCTGAGATCATGTCCAGCTCAAAGCATTTGGGTTTTTTCCTTCTGAAAAGTATTTCCCTCTTCCTGTGACCTGCTTTTAAATATAAACATGACTGGATGGAGAGTAATGGACTTTTAAGTTAAAAGGGGGGAATTAAGACTATCCCACAGATTTTTTTTCCTGCTTCTTAACAAATATCCCCCAAATAAGTTTTTTTAAATCTTCTCCTCCCCCCAAAATCACTAATAATTGGCAACAACCAGAGATAATGTAATAAATTCAAACACTGATGTCAAGGAGGGAAGCAGAAGATTCTGGAGCACAGAGGAAAAGTAGAGGATGGCTTGGCTCCTAATCACACCACCACCCTGAAATCATATTGAAGAGCCCACATATCTATGAATTGAAGGAAATCTGAAGGTTACCATTTGAGGGATACCCTTTCTTTTCCCTCTATCCTTGATCATCGCTCTCTCCCTGAGTCTAATTTCCCATTGGGAAATGACCCAAAGTTGAGAGTATTCCTCAAAGGGATGGACTACTACTTGAAATTGTGAAAAGCAGAACAATGGTTCGGTGCATTCAACAATGAAAATGAAAAAAAGAGGGGGGAAGGCAAGGAAAGAAGAAACCATGCAAATACTGATAAAGAAAATGATCTACAGGGATACATATTTAAAAGAATAGGAAGAGGGACGCCTGGGTGGCACAACTGGTTAAGCATCTGACTTCTTGGTTTTGGCTCAGGTCGTGATCTCAGGGTCCGGGGATCGGCCCCAGGTTGGGCAACATGCTTGGCCCAAAAGTCTGCTAAAGTTTCTCTCTCCCTCTCTCTCTGCCCCTCCCCCACTCTCTCTCTTTCTCTCTCAAATAAATAAATAAATCTTTAAAAAAAAAGGAATAGCAAGAAATTTTATATCTATATGAACTGTATGTATACTAATTAAAAATAAGACCCCATCAAGAAGAGAGTAAACAGAAACAAAAGAAACAGAACAGAGAACATTAGACCTAAAAACATAAATTGAAGGTCCAAGCAACACCATTACAAAATACATTGAATTACAAATAGCAAGGTATAGAAGAGACACCATTGAAAATCAAGTTAAGAGAAAAGCTTAAGATGATCATGGTATATGCCGTTGAAGAAAAGTTAAAGAAACACAGAGAGGCCACAGAAACAGAAGATAGAAATGGTCCAACATGAGGATAATTTGTGTCCTAAATGCAAAGTGCTCCCAAAATGGGCCAGAATATTTTTTTTAAAGATTTTATTTATTTGAAAGAGAGAGAGAGAGCAAGCACGAGAGGGGTGAGAGGCAGAGGGAGAAGGAGACTCCCTGATGAGCAAGGAGCCCGAGGTGGGGCCCCATCCCCGGACTCCGGGATCATGACCTGAGCCAAAGCAGATGCTTAATCACGTAATCAACTGAGCCGCCTGGGTACCCCGGGCCAGAAGATTTAATAAAGGTGATTACCCAGGAAAAAAAAATTGAACCTCTA